GCACCAAGGTCTTTGACTGTGCAGGAAGCGGTGTGGTCCCTCCACTCTTCGATCCAGTATTTGTTGTGGACCACCGCCACCGCAACCGTTTCTGGAGGAAGGGCCTCCAACACTTCTTTCACCGGCTCCTCCGCGTTGATGCATAAAAAGTCGACCTCCTTAGAGGGACGGACCCTCTTTCTCCTCTGCTGCCCCGACACTTGGGCAATAGGCACGACAGCAAGTGACGAAGTGGCCGGGGCAGTAGCAAACTCTGCTGGTGCAGGCCTCTTCTTCGGAACGGCCACCCCGATTGGGATTGTCGTCTGCTTCAAAATGGGGGGTGGCCTCGCCACAGTTGGGCGTTTTGAAGGGGTGACACTCTTTTTGCCCTTCCGCAATAGGTCGGCCTCGGGGCTCTCTGGCACCTCCTCCTCCGTCGGAGGCTGGAGTCTTTTACTGGCATCCACCAGGTCCTCCATTTGCTTCTTGTAGGTGGAGGAGGAGGTCTTTAGCGCCCGTGCCTCTGCCATTATCCTTTGGATGGTCTTAAAGTCGGGGCTCACGGGCATCATCTTGTTGAAGTTGTCTGCAAGGAACAAACGATGAATTAGTACAAGTGTAAAGATTTCAGAAATATTGGAGGATAAAGGCTTGGGACAGTTACCTTGAGATGCCATGAGGTCGTGTGTAACGAAGTGTAGATTTTTTCTGATCAGCCGATGGTATGACTCTTCTTCTGAGGCAGCTGATAGATGATCCAAATGGTGTCGAAGTCTTCAGAAGACAGTTCGCACCGAGGAAGAGCACCTTCAAGAGAAATACAAATGTTAGTCACGGTCCGAACCGAAGAGAAATATAAAGAAACGCAACTGTGATACTCACTAAGTGTTGAGTACTTTGTGGGGACCGTAAGAGATGCCATGGGGCCCCCCATCGCGTCCCATCGTCCTGCGGCTCAGCACCACGAGCTCTTCCACTCTTTGATGGAGCTCGGCAGATCGAGGATGAATGGAGTATGGGAACCTCATGAAGTAAGGTAACACTAGCCCCGCTTCTTATCCCCCCCGGTTGTTACTTTAGGGATATAATGGGTTTGAAAGATGGAGAAGGGCATCTTAACCCCAAGTGACGCTTCTTTCCACAACATTCAGGAGCCCACCATTTGGTTCCAGCAGTTCGGATTGAGTTGGATCGGAGTTAATCCATAGGACCTAAGTACCATCCTAAAGAAATGTGAATTGGATGCTGAAGGCCGGCTCTAAGGATCGCCTTACTTTTGGCCACGCACCCCGGCCTAGGTTAGCAGGCCCTCTCTTCAGGCTCGGGGAGGATCAGATTTATGCTATCTGGAATCCTATATTCTACCCTAAGTCTCTCTAGGTCGGCCTCCTTTAGTTTGGAGGGGTAATTCGACGTCCCCAAGTGTACAGAAGTATCAACCGGGCTATCCGGCCTCTTCTATATATTCTCCCCCCAAGTATCGCTTCGGCTATATTGGAGGAGGTCGCCACAGTGGGCTCGTCCATTCTCACTAATTCTAGCCCCCTCCCCGAACCAGAACTTCTCTCAAAAGCCATTTTTTAGAAAATAAATGTCCCAAAAGTTGCTGAAACTTATGAATTCAGAGGTTTCCCCAGCTGGAAATGGTCAGGAAATGCTGTGAGGTCACCGAAAACGCTCAAAAAATGTCGAAAACCGCGAATGATTTGAGAGCAAAGTAAATATTCCGTTTGCACAAGGATGAAAAGCTTCAAAGACGCTCAAAGTTCGCCTTTTATAGAACGCTCCAACTGATCTCCACCGTTGAATTCAAATGCAATCAATTAAGACCGTCCGTCGCATCATCAATCTAGGCCGTTGAAATGAAACGCCAGATTTGATCTACGCCTAAGATCTTACTGTGATCCTCACGCTCGCATAAAACGCGTCACCTCGGTCACCACCAGCTGTCGATAATAAGTAGCCACAGCAGCCTTTTAGGGGAATGGACATGGCACCTAACTGTCACCTTGGAAATACGCAACAGCTGTCAAATCTTGAAACGTCAGATGCCCCCCTCGGGTCGATCTCCTCACTCAACTTTACAAAGCTTAGACGCACCTGACGCGGAGTCCCCTGTGGGCCATCGCCGTGGTCGCTGCGTTCCCTCCTAAGTTTTACAAAGTTTTAGCCATCTCCCAACGCGTCGTTCCCTGTAGGTCAGCGCACCAGTAGCAGATGAGCTCCTCACTCAACTTTACAAAGCTTAGACGCACCTGACGCGGAGTCCCCTGTGGGTCATCGCCTCGATCGTTGCGTTCCCTCCTAAGCTTTACAAAGTTTTAACCATCTCCCAACGCGTCGTCTCCTGTGGGTCAGCACACCAATGGCAGATGAGCTCCTCACTCAACTTTACAAGACTTAAACGCACCTGACGCGGAGTCCCCTGTGGGTCATCGCCTCGGTCGTTGCGTTCCCTCCTAAGCTTTACAAAGTTTTAGCCATCACCCAACGCATCGTCCCCTGTGGGTCAGTGCACCAGTGGCAGATGGGCTCCTCACTCAACTTTACAAAGCTTAGACGCACCTGACGTGGAGTCCCTTGTGGGTCATCGCCTCGGTCGCTGTTCCCTCCTAAACTTTACAAAGTTTTAGCCATCTCCCAACGCGTCGTCCCCTGTGGGTCAGCTCACCGGTGGCAGATGGGCTCCTCACTCAACTTTACAAAGCTTAGACACACTTGAGGCGAGTCCACTGTAGGTCATCACCTTGGTCGCTGCGTTGACCTTCTTCCTACGCATCATCCAGTCTTGCAGCACTTCGGTCTCACATGAGTAATTGTTTCCTTACGTAGTAGCAAAGCTTTAGAGCATCTGATCATCGCTTCGGCAAATGCAGAAGATCTGCCCACAAACTCCTACAAGTCACGGTCCACGTACCGAGGCATACACATCCGGTCGGGAAGGCAAGTCTACCCATGATATAAATATTCATACCTGGACTTGGGGGACCATTGTTACACACCTATCTGAACCACCTCGGAATGTCCACCACCACACACTCCGATCTTATAGGCACCTACCCGAAGTGGTTCCGAAGTGATCTCCCCAATGTCAACGACCTGCTATCACACTGCTAGACATAGGCGATCCTGCTGAACTAATCGAAGCACTCTCGCCCTTGAGGCGCGAGGCGAAGTGCACTCTGGGGACCTCTGTCAGAAGATCGGCCGCAAATTTCAAAAGGAGATCTTTGCCAAGATCCTTTCTATCCCTAAGGTTTAAATTGATTTGACATCTCCATGAGGTTAGTTGATGTGACTTAACAACTTCATGTCAACTCAACTCGGGAGAAGCGATTACCCGCCCACTCTGCAGACGCGGCTGATTGACGCCTATGAGTAGACACCTCATACCGTCAGATGTATACATGTGCCCCACATCCAACGGTTCATCCCACCTATAAATACCCAAGGGTTGGTAAGAGGCAAAGGTAACGTAACTCTTACTACATAACACTCCATAGCAAGCATATATATATATTTTCTCCTCCCCCTTATTATTTTGCACAACCCTTGAGTACTGTTCCGACCACCTGAACCTGACTTGACCGTTGGAGTGTATACGACCACCACCACCCCCGCTGGTCCAGGTCGTGTGCGTCTGACCGTGCGTTGATTGTGCGCAGGGAGGAATACGTGGAGTAGCTCTCGATTGGCCACGTAGAAGGTCCAATTTTCGAGGTCAACACGAATGATACTTGCGATTGTAGTTTTGTGAAATTTTGAAGTGTATCAAATGGATTAAACTACCTTTGTATATCAACAAGAGTAACAACTATTAGCATTATGCTATTGTATTGATGAAGTCATTATATGACGTGAAACAAGCACCAATACAATAAAATAATGGTTTGTTTTTCATAATAAAACTTGGACTTAAAATCTCGATTGTTTGATAAATTATCTAACTTTCTGCATTCTATTGTTATGAAAAGATATTTTTAACTACATTTTTACCAAACACTAATTCTTAAGTGTACTTAATAGTCACAAGATACAAAACATTTTTAGAAGTGTTTATGCTCATGTTTGATGTAGATTAAAATTTCAAGTCAAATACAATATTTAATTCTAACTACATATTTAATGAGACCTATAACTTTTAAATCACAAATTTTATTAATTTTTATCAAAATCGCCTAAAATCTTAATTTTAATATACACCAATGAGGAGCTAAATGTGAAAAATTGTATGATTTTCTCGGAGGGCGACAACTCAGTTGATTCCACACGTTGACCCAACATAAAAAAGTAAGGTAAAATTGTAGTTGAGGTACCAAACCTTTCGTTTATTAGCAACTTTGCCTAAACATTTCGTTTGTGCCATCGGAGGTACCAAACCTTCAAAAAATTCGCACCCGGAGTCGAAATTGACAGAAATCGTTAGTTTAACTATTATTGGCCAAAAATCAAAGACTTGACCAATTGTTGACTGATTTTTAAAGGGTCAAATGAGTAACTTTATATTTTTCATATAAAAAATTTGATTTTTATATTAAAGAATTAAAATAAAAAAGCTAAAAAAAAAATCCCCTTCATCTTCTCCAAGTACCCTACACACACTCCCTCCCCAAAAACCAAAACCAAGAGCTGAAACCACCACTACCAGTCACTCCTTCGCCTGCCGCCGTAATTGCCCACAACAAAATCCAACACCAGGGTGCCATTTTAAATTGATAATATACAATTTTAGGGATCTTTCAATTTGATAAACAAGAGAGTCATTTCAATGGAGATGACCTGGACGGTTGTTGACTGGATTTGGATGGCTACTGCAAGCACTTTTTCTTACCCACAACGCAAGCATAACAACTCTTTGGTTAATGTTATCCAACGTCTTATGGTTAAAACATAGAGTTGCAGATTAAGAACAAGCCAATGTTATCCAACATCTTCTAGTTAATGTGATTTGCTGGCAATTGCTGTGCGGTGATTTGGGCATGGTGGATGATGGTCGTCGACCGATTTAGGAGCGGTGAATGGCAGTGGTCGGCGCGATTGGGTTGGGTGGACGCTGGTTGAATTCTGTGGGGGAGGGGAGTGGGGTCAGCTACGTAGGGAAGAAAAAGAAGAAAAGTTTTTGAAATTCTTTTCTTTTTATTTGATTTTTGGGTTTTTAATTTAATTATTTTAATTCTTTAATATAAAAACCTAATGTTATATTTTTACTCTTTAAAATGCAGTCAAAATGTTGACTCTAGGTCAACTAATGGATTTACTAACGGTTTCCATCCATTTGGACTGCAAGTGCGAATTTTTTGAAGGTTTGGTACCTCCGGTGGCACAAACGAAAGGTTTGGACAAAGTCTGCTAATAAACGAAAGATTTGATACCTCGATTGCAATTTTCCCAAAATGTAATTATAAATTGATTCATTCTTCTGTGTAGTATTCATCAAAGAAAAAAAAGCAGAAGAAAAAATGGCCTATGCCAAGAAAATTTTCAGGCCTGGGTTTTTCATGCCTGTTCTTTTGCTGATGCATTTTACTGCACCGGCTTCTGCTGTGACAAATGAAAAAGACCGGCAAGCTTTGCTCGACATCAAACATCTGATAACGCAAGATCCTTTCCAGGTTCTTAATTCATGGAATAATTCCGTCCATTTTTGCAGTTGGCCTGGAGTTGCATGCAGTAATCTCCATCAGAGAGTTACTGTCTTGAATATTTCCTCCCTTAAATTGGTTGGTCCGCTTTCTCCTTCTGTTGGAAATCTTTCATTCCTCCATAATCTCAGTATCCAGGATAACAACTTCCATGGCGAAATTCCCCAAGAAATAGGCAAACTATTTCGCCTCCGATATTTTAGTTCTGCAAACAACTCATTTGAGGGAGAATTTCCAATTAATCTCACTCGTTGCATCGAGCTTCAATTCATTGATTTACGGGGAAACAGCCTCAGTGGGAGAATTCCCGATGAGCTGAGCACTTTATCCAGACTTCGTGTGCTGAAACTTCCTCGTAATAATTTCTCTGGAAAAATTCCCCCCTCCTTGGGAAACCTTTCCTCCCTTAAATTCCTTGCCCTGAACAAGAACAGTCTAGAGGGAAATGTCCCTATTGAGCTTGGCAAGCTCTCCAAGTTATATTACCTCGCGTTGTCCTCGAATACTCTTTCTGGCATATTTCCTTCTGAAATCTTCAACATCTCCTCTCTCCAAACCCTTTCTCTCACGAACAATACATTAAGTGGACACTTTCCTGCCAATTTGGGAGTAACTCTTCCGAAACTTACCATGATTTTGGCTGGCATAAACCAGTTCTCTGGATCAATTCCAGCTTCTCTTGCCAATGCTTCAGGGCTAATAAATATCAGCTTTGGAAATAATTCCCTTACAGGGCCGATACCAAGAAGTTTGGGAAGCCTTCAAGAACTCCGGCGTTTGCATCTTGGCCATAATCCACTTGGAACCGACATTAGTTTTATCACCTCCTTGAGTAATTGCACCAGTCTGCAATTACTGGGTTTATCCTCCACTCAAATTGGGGGTGTTTTACCCAATTCCGTTGTCAATCTTTCGGCCACACTTGAATATTTATGGTTGAATAACAACTACATCTCTGGAAGCGTGCCAGAAGGGATTGATAACTATCTAAACTTAGTCTTCCTCCATTTAAGTACGAACAGTCTCACCAGCAATCTTCCTAATTCCATTGGACAACTCACAAACTTGCAAGAGGTCCTTCTTTACGAAACTAAATTCTCTGGTAAAATACCACCCTCCTTTGGAAACATTACTAATTTACAAATCCTGATACTAGAAGACAATTTGTTGGATGGCAGCATACCTGTTTCCCTGGGAAACTGCAGCAACTTGCAAGAACTTCATCTGGCAAAGAATCAACTAACCGGATTTTTACCCAGAGAAGTAATTCTTTCTTCCCTCACAATTGGCCTCATCTTAGCTGAAAACCAGCTAGCTGGATCATTACCATCAGAAATGGGCAACTTGAAAAGTCTCGTAACACTAAATATTGGAGAGAATAAATTCTCTGGTGGAATCCCGGACTCTCTTGGCGATTGTCTCATGTTGGAAGAGCTAAATATGGAAGGTAACAGTTTTGTGGGAACTATTCCTTCATCCTTAGGAAATTTGAAAAGCACCCAAATCATTAATCTATCTCGCAACAATTTATCTGGGATAATACCAGCTTCTTTAAGAAATCTAAGTTTGATGGAGAAACTAAATCTTTCTTTCAATATGCTTGAAGGCGAAGTTCCCACGGGAGGAGTATTTAACAATCTCAAAAAATTTTCAGTCCTTGGAAATCAGAAACTCTGCGGAGGGATTAAGTCCTTAAATTTATCGGTATGTCCCAGTGTCCCCAAGAAACAGGGGCAGCATTCTGTTCAAGTGGTGATAATTCTAGCAATCACTGTTCCTCTGTTTATCATATTGCTTATAGCAAGCATTTATGCAAAATGGCCAGTAAAAAGCTCCAAACATCCATTGCATGCAAACTCTACAGATGAAAATCCATATCCAAGAATTTCTTATAGAGAAGTTTTCCAATCTACCGGTGGTTTCTCTGTGGAAAACTTGATCGGTGAGGGAAGATATGGCTGTGTTTATAAAGGGGTTCTCAGCCCAGGAGAGCAAAATGTTGCTGTTAAGGTGCTGAAGCTCCAGGAAAGGGGTGCCAACAAGAGTTTCTTGGCAGAATGCGAGGCTATAAGGAACCTTCGCCATAGGAATCTTGTCAAGATCATCACTACTTGCTCAAGCATAGATTTAGAAGGCAATGATTTCAAAGCTTTGGTTTATGAGTTCATGCCAAAGGGAAGTTTGGAGACATGGTTGCATCGAGTTTCACCTGAACATGATGACCTAAAGAAGCTGAACGTACATTTAAGGCTTAATATTGCAATTGATGTTGCCTTGGCTTTGGACTACCAGCACCATCATAGTAAAACACCGTTAATCCACTGTGATCTCAAGCCCAGCAACATTCTTCTTGATGATGATCTTTGTGCTCACCTAAGTGATTTTGGCTTAGCGAAGTTTCTTTCAACCCCCGAGAGTACATCTAATGGCAGTTCAATTGGATTTGGAGGAACAATTGGCTATATTGCTCCAGGTACATCTATTTTCTCTATATCTCCTTTCATTGTTCCTGGGAAAGAATTGCATATTTTGTAACATAATTAAGCTTTATGTCCAAGTAACATTATACTGTTATCCCACAAACAAGGAATTTATTATAGTTCTGGCTTTAACAAAAAGGTTGACCTTAATGGATTGCAGAATATGGCATGGGAGGAAGCGTGTCAACACAAGGTGATATGTATAGCTTCGGGATCGTCCTGCTCGAGCTCTTTACTGGAAAGAGACCTACCAACAGCGTGTTCACCGAAAATTTCAGTCTCCACTACTATGTAAAGACATCCCTTCCTAATCTAGTGATGGAAATTGTTGATCCAGATATGTTAATGACAGAGGAAAATGGACAAAATATGACAGATCAAGCGAGTGATGGCAGCAAAATGAGGATAGCGGAGTTCTTGGTGCGTGTCCTTCGAATGGGAGTTGTATGTTCTTCTGAGCTGCCAGACGAAAGAATGGACAGTAGAGATGTTATCAGGGAACTGCAAGCAATCAAGGAAACATTTCAAGAAACAAAAGAGAAGAGAATGAGAAGAAGGTATGAGAATATAGCGTGATCACTTGTTGAGACAACATTTGTAATTCAAGTAGTAAGTTCCATTATTCATCTCAAGAATAAGTGAAATAACAAAAAGGGCATTGCTACATGTACATCAGACTTTACATAATCGGTTACATAATATCACGTATCACTCTATCATTTGCCAGTTTAAAATACAATCAACATTTTCATCCAATCTTTTCACTCCACATCATTTTATGTAATCCATTAATAAATATATATTCACATATAAAAAATCTCGTTATAGTGTTGTTTCTTAATTTACAGATAGGAAAGAAATATTGGTCTTCAGATATTGTATCTATACAGTAAGTTCAGTTGAATATTACTAGGCATTTATTGGTGTTATTCCTATATAATACATCAACAGAACGCTAACCAAGCGTATTTCTCAAGACAATTACATAAATTCATTTTGAGTATTCCCTTTCGTTTATTACAAGATCTACAGAAAATCTAAAGAAACTTGCATTGCTGGTAGTGGATGTCCCAACAAAATGTATATCGGGAAATTCACTGCATCCAATTTCATTGGCCTTTGAATGCAAACACAATGATTAAATAATAAATAAAAAAAAGCATTACAAAAGTACAGCTATGGTAATGCCCCGGGCAGAGATGATCATTCATCAATCCAGTAGTAACAAACCAACACTTATCTCTAATTAAGCATCATTCAGCAAATGACAATTGAACAAACTATATATATAATCTCTTTAAGATTAGGCATTCCACATTCTTCCACTTTCATCGATGGGAATGAAACGTGAATATATATATTTTTAAAAGGATATTGTTTATAACACACGAATGGATGTTACTTGAATTTAGCTCGAACTGACGTGAAAAATATGAAATCCACAAAGTAAGCGAAAGAGGCTATAGGATTTTCAAACTCTTAACACATATCTAAAGAGTCAAAACAAATCTTAATCAAATCGAAATCCTAATTCAGTAGACTAATCTGAATAAAATTAAAACATTACAAAAATGACTAAAATACCATTAAACTGACTCAAAGGAGAAAAAAGCTAAAACAAACCCTTAAATGATGAAAAATTACAACTAAAGTTTGACAATGTTGGCCAAAGGCCAATTGTCACCCGAAAAAATTGTACAGATCGAAAACTATTTCTTGATAATACTCGCTTGCGTAAATCTTATACTCGAATTTAAAGCTACACACATTTTCATAATTTTTTTTTATTTATTTATCGTCTTTTCCAACTGCTTTATGATCTTTTCTCTTCTAATGATTTCACATCATTCACCCATTTCAAAAATTTGAATATCCAAACTCACAATATATTGCCTTATAAACTCTTCAGGCTGTAAAAATCAATAAATAGTTATCCACAAGTATCAATTAAAAGTGTAATGCGAGTTAGGGCAAACCTTCAAAGCGTTTGAAGTTGTACATTTGGATTAGATTGGGGCCATCAACAATTATTTTACTAATGAGTACTATTGACCTTAAAATTCGGTTGACACGTAGCCAACAGAATTCTAGCCAAATTTTCTCTTGCATTCCCGACGATCAAGTCAATGAGAATGATTGCAAGAGATGGATGAGTAAGATTTCGCCAGAGTTAGAGTACATTACCTTTGAATAATAAACTCACACATATATATAGAATGAAAGATGGGCCAAGATAGGTTTAGTGGAATAGGTCTAAGTCCAAGCATTCAACTAAAATTGATGTCGAGTAAGCCAATGTGGAACTTCCGCTACCACGTTCATGTGATTTTGTATGTGGGAATGAATCATAACCTCATGAATGTACAGTTTAAACTTGGGGGACTATTGTTTATATCTATAAATTACATGGTATGCACGTGATGAAGGGAGTCTCACATATGCCGACTCGACATTGAATATTCAATTGGAGGCCTAGACTTGGACCCATTTCATTAAAGATATTTTGACTCATCTCACTCCTATATATATATATATGTGTGTGTGTGTGTGTGTGTGTGTGACTTCATTATTCATCAATAGTAATGTGTATTCTCATTCTAGCAAAATTCCCCCCCTTTCGTCCTTGCACTCATTCTTTCTCGTCCTACAGTTGACTTGATTGTTGAAATGCAAACGGTTTCGGACCTTTTTCTTGACTACCTTTGCAATCTATTGAGGTGTTCCAATACATATGTGATACCTACATGGAGAAGAGTTGGCCGAGATTCTATATGTAGTATCTCCATTGAATTTTGAGGTCGACAAATAATACTATTTATCTCCAATAATCAAGCATTAAATGGAAAAATTTGAACTAATGAAGTGGATGATGACCCAAACTCATGATGTGGCATTATTCTTCACAAGTACAATTATATACCTGTTATGAAAATTTTGAATTCGTCAAACTCGATCTTCATTTTGTGTCATGGGAAAATGCTAATGAACAAGGCCCAAAAATTCGATGTAATCATAAAAGACCTAAAATTTTGAGTTCTCAAAATAGTGGTAATTTGGATATTGCCCATAAAATAATATTGGATACCTGGCATTGAGATTAAGCCCGGCTCAGTCGGCGCGAACTTCGGATCAAATAATCACATTACTGATATAAGCGACACAGATCCATATCAAGTGGTATGGCATAAAATAACAATAATTTTATAATAAGGCATGTAGAATAGTAATTGAGACATAAAATTCAAATAATCTTGTTTTAATTTTTAAATCAGATTAAATATACATTATGAGGTTTTCTTTGAAAAAAATTGAAATTTTCTATCTAAGATCATAAAACCATTAAAACTATTTTTTTATATGATACAAATGAAAATGTAAAATAATTTATAGTTGTAATAAGGATTAATTCGAAAAGAATATCCAAAATGGAGGCTGGTTCGCCAAGAGTTCAAAGTGCAAGGGTGTGGGAGCAAACTTCAAACTCACTCTTTATGATGATCTATTCTTCTAATTAAAATCGATATGCAGTATGAGAAATTTGTATTGATGTAACTGATCTAATGTTGAACCTCATTTATAGTCTATACAACTATTTCATACAAAAAAGGTTGCTGGTTTAAAAGTATGATATTTCAGTATTGAATTCAAGTCAAATCCAAGCCATCCAGCATCTTTAACTCAATTATGTATTAATAAAGAATTAAGCTATTTGTGATGTTTACAACTTTGTTGACAGATGATGATGTGGCATGCATTATAGCTTTTGATCCAAGTAGATGAAATTCAAATCAATAGTCAAAATTTATGTCAACTCATCATTTGTCAGACTTTTTGTCAATAATTTATGTAGCATAACTGATTAATAAAAGAACCTCACAAATTTTAATCAATAAATGTGGAAAAAGAGAGATATTTGATGATATTTGCTAATAGTGGAGGAAATATTATGGCGTGATTTGGAAAATAAAGGTTGGCCATATTTGGAAAGATAATTGGAATATTTATGTAATTTGTTATCTTTTTTCCTTGATTGCCTTGTTCATAACATGGCAACCTTGATGTAATGTGACTATGTGTGTGTGTGTGTGTGTGTGTGTGTGTGTGTCCCCAATAATAATTGAATATAATCTTCTCTTTTCTCCGTGGATGTATGTTTGCTAGATTGGAGCTTAATTAAGTAAATCTTTCTGATCTTATTTATTAGTTTTATTCAATTCTTCGTGGTATCAAAATAGATGTGTTGATTTGGTCAATAGTTTGAAAATGCAAGTGGAAACAATTTCTCAATTTGTTTGCACAAATCCTTTTTTTTTTTTTTTAATTTTTTTTAAAGCTTTGCGCGACTTCCACAAAAACGGTTTTATCTTTCAAGCTGTAACTTGGAATTGTGCAAGGTCAGTGCCACTGGATTCATAGCTCCGTATCTAGTTAATTAGTTTCAAGCTATTTTCAACGTCATTTGATGGGTCAAAATCGTCCTCAAAGTCAGTTGTTCATGTTTTCTAGTTTCCATTTTCCAGTTTTTTAGGCAATTTGAATTTTGTTCTAATTGGTTGAGTTTGCAATGATTGAGAAAGCTGTTAATCTATCTATAATGATGGAGAATGATGGTAATCCTGGATGGAAGAGGACATACCATGGTCAAGGTTTGTAATGTTATCTCTTGGTGGAAAGAAAACATTAGGCTTCATCAATGGCACTTTTGCTTGTCTAGATCATGTAGATCCAAAATATGAAGGATGGATTGCCAATATTGCTGAAATTTTCACTTTTTTGGACTTCGCAACAGAGTTGTGGAATATTGTTGAAGAACTTTATGGAAACGTAAATAACGCTGCTAGAAGGACTCTACAAAAGAGTTGTGGAATTCTGTTGAAGAACTTTATGGACACTTAAATAATGTCGCTAGAATCTTTGAATTGAAACGAAAAGTTCCAGCTGCTGAGCAAGGAGATCTAGGTCATCTTAAGAAGAAATGGGATGAATTGAGAATGCACCGTCCACATACAACCGATGCAAAATCTTATTGGAGAGAGTTGAAGAAGATAAGATTTTTTCTTTGCTATGTAGTTTGAAGCCAGTGCATGAGAATCTTAGGAGTCATATATTTATGAATTCTATCCTTCCAACCTTATTGAGTGCATGTGCAACTGTGCAGCAAGAAGAAACTCGGAAAAACACTATGAAAATTCAGAATCGAAGGATATACCTGAGTCGATTGCTCTTATTGTAAAAAGAAATGAAAAAAGGAAAAGTGTTTAGAACAACGGAAGACGAGAAGTTCTAAAATGTGATCATTGTCACAGGCTAGGACAGTCTAAGGACCATTGTTGCTTCATCCTCACCTTAAGCCATCTTCGTTGAAAGGAGGAAACAAGGAAGTTGCATCTATTGCTGACACTACCATCTCAATAAGTCGATTGGCCTGAATTCTTCAACAACTTGATTATTCAATTTCAAAAGAATCTACCCTTTCTTTTGATACTCATGTCTCGGATAACCTCAAAGCTTATTTATCTTTGTGTACATCTAAACATTTGAATACTCGAATTATTGATTCATGTGCCATTGGACAAAACTTATGAACCTTACTTAAATTATTGAACGCTATAAATTAATTCTCGATAAGTTTGGAATTATTTTACTGAAGAACGAGTTGAAAACAATATG